TAGTCAGTTGAGAGTAATACATGAAGGTGTTCATGGACCATACTGGTGTGACTGAGGCTGAAATAATCAGATGGACAAATCTTGCTGATGCTTGAGCAATGTAATGAGGAGTGCAGTGAACTTTAAATCTAGAGTGTGTATGGTTTGATCAAATTTGGGAGAGCACTTTTTATTGTTTAAAATAAGCCTATGAGCTAATCAAGGGTAAGAATGCATTTTCAGAGCTTTATAGCTTTCAAAGATAAAATAGCTCACACAAACAAATATCCATCCATCCACTATCTGTACTGTTTATCTTGTTGAAGGTTGTGGGGGGCCTGAGCCAATCCCAGCTGATGTTAGGCGAGCGGTGGGATACACCCTAGCCAGGTTGGCAGTTTAACACACAAAGACAGGCAAGTCGTACTCACATTTGCACTTAAGGGCAATTTAGAATCATCAGACAATCTAACCTGCGTCTTTGCTGTGGGAGGAAGCTGGAGTACCCATGCACAGGGAGAACATGCAAACCCCACACAAGGCCATGAGATTCAAAACCAGAACCTACTTGCTGTGAGACAACAGTGCTAACCATTGCCTCACCAGGCTACTGCCACACATACACCTGCAGAATGACAGTTAAATTTTATATAAACGTGGACTAACTAGTAATACAAAACATACAAAGGAGGTGCATTGGTTGAGGGATGACAGCACATTCCTCTGTATTTCTCAACCTCCTCTAAGCATGTCTCGTCTACATGTTGATAGTCTAGACCTCCCCAAGGTCTGCTCCATAAACACAGCCACTCCTCCTGACACCATTTTATGTATGGGAATGTAAACACAGGGCTCCTTTTTAACATAGATTTGTGATTCCTTTTTTATTTCACGCTTCCATTTGTTTATATTTGTCATATTTCACTGAAGCAAGGCAACCTTGAAACAATGAGGGAGTCAGAGCTTATCATTCATGCCTAATGAGATAAAGTGAAGAGAAAAGGGAGCTTCAGTCTGAAAAATCCAGTTTTTTTGGTGTTTGTATTTACAGAGTTGAATGTAATTTGAAATTGCACTGAGCAGATGCACAGAGAGTCACAGACACATGCACACTGCGGCTCAAGGGGGAGAGATATCAGGATTGTTGTGTAGGTGCATAGCTGAGCAGTGACCTCGCCTGTAAGCTTAGAAAACACCCATATTCACACAGAACATGGAGATCCCCCTGCTTCTCTCTCTCTCACACACAAACAAACACTGAGGTGAAGAATGTTTGACTATGATGTGCAAGTGTGCACTATGCATTGTTTCTCTTTCTTTTTCCAATTGGAGCTTTTTGTCCCCAACTCAGCTACATATCATTGATGTTTTTCTTCTCTTGTCACACATCTGACACCCGAATTGATCTTAATTGTCTTTGTTGCCCCAAGCTGCTGATATGCTTGTAAGTTCTGCTGTCAGAAAAATGTGTGTGCACTGCTTGTGAGTAATTTCCACTCAGTTGTATCATCACCACTACTGAGCCTCTCCCACACTCACCTCATTAACTACCTCCAGGAAAGCAATAACATGACTCCTCCACTGAAGTACAGTAAGTATTACCAAGAGATGAGGAGGTGAGACAGAAGTAACTTCAGTCTGCTGAAGTACGAAAAAAAAAAATCATAATAAAAAAGCCTTGAATTCTCTCACTTAAACAACTAATGCATTGAAAATCAGGCCACTTAAGATTTAAGGCATTTGCTGTAGCTTATATGTCATGCACATGCAAGTGCCCACCCCACATAGACTTATAAGTCACTAAAAACGGTGCAGTTTTGATGCATTTGTCAGAGAAGAACATGATTTCTCACATAATATTACTTTGCACACATTGTTTTGCCTCAGAAAATTCCCCAATTCAAGATTTTTTTATAATAATCATCTACCCAGAAAAATAGAACTGAAGGATAATTATAGTTTAGCCTTTAAATGATCATATAATGAACAACAAAAGCATGAAAAGGATTCATCTTCAGTAACAAGGAGACCTGCCTACTTTGATAGCTAATAATAATGTGGATGACCATAACTGTTCGGCTCAGGAGGCAGACACCCTCTCAACTTTTAAAATTAGTGTTAAAACTTTCTTTTTGTAAAACTGCATATTCTGGCTCAGGTGATACTGAGTTTTTCTTTATTTATATTGCTATAAGCCTAGACTTCTGTTAAAGGGAGTTTTTCCTACCACTGTCGCTAAGCACTTGTTCAAGGGGGCTTTCTAGGGTTTTTTCACTATAATGCTGTAAGCTCTAGACCAAACTATGTAAAGTGCCACAAGATGATTGTTGTTGTGATTTAGCACTATACAAATAAAGCTGATTTGAACTTTGCACACAGAGAACTACTATAAGTAAGTTACAAACATTTATTGCAGTTGGCCTATATAAGCTCACATGCTTCATGATTTCTGTGGCACAGCAGGGTCTTGTATGTTTGAAATACAGCTGACAGAAATGACGCTTAAAACCTTGGTTACTTTCCAGCAACTCCTTCTGTAAAACTGTATATTCATGAGACAAAAAGGTAATGTCACAGGGAATGCTATATTTACAACACCTTAAACATAAGATTGCAACCACTGAAAGTGTACATACATATGCATATATGACAGCACATGTAGCAAGGTATTGTAGGTGGGTCTTGGCCTCTCACAGCATGCAGAGATGTGCAAGGGAAAACATATTAGTATGGAAAAAAGACACTAACACATGACCACACAAAAACCTGCTACAAAAGCATTGGTACACCCCAGAAAAACTGGTTTTGGACACGGCCATGCCTACAAGAATGCGTTTTGTTTAATGCAAAAGTTTATTCAGCAGCAAATACTTTGTAGGTTATGCAATACCACACATCATTAGATGTGTAACAGTTGCATGTACTGTATAAAAACTTGTTAAAAATGTATGAATGATCAAAGAGACATGTTCATGAATGGATTCTGAATTTAAGAATGCTCTGGGAAAGTCTAAGAGGATGTTGTGTGTGTCCGGACCTCTCAACACACTGTCACCCGCAATCTATTCATTTAGTTTAGTTTCTGTCAGAAAGGCAGGAAGCTAAACAAAAAGCCTGTGACAATTAGAAAAAGGAGTGTGAGTGGATGAGGTGAAAATCTTGATTAGACACACAGACATGTTCAAATCCCCACTGGACATACAATCATTCCCACATTTAGACCTCATCTCCAACAACAGCTGCCACTACACTCCAGCAGAGGAAATGCCTTAGTCCTCTGAAGTGGAGCATAACAGCACTGCAGTTCCCATCCACAGGGAAAGGCAGGAGCGCCTCTAATATCAGGAAGTTGTAAGAATAACGGCACTGGAGTGTCATGCTCCCCCCCCACTGGCATGCAAGCCTTAGCCAGAGCAGTGTCTGTGTGTGCTGTATGCTTGCTTATAAAAACTAATGCCATATTTTTCACATAGCTCACAGTAAGGGTTTGTGAGTCTTTCTGGGAGAAATGAATACCTTTCCAAACAAAAGCTGGTATAGTTAGGCTTAACAGATTTGTGTCATTGTTCTGACTACTTTTTTATGGCAGTGTTTTGTAACACCAGAGATATCCTTTATTTCATAGTGGCTGACTCGTGAACATTACATTATTTAAAAAAAAACGGCCTTGTATTTGTAGCATAGAAGACCATAGAAACAGAGATGATGATGGAAACTCTTTACCTTTAAAGGAAGGTTATTTTAACAGGTGATTGTGTCAATCCACCATTCACTGGAGGATTACTCAGCTATTGTGAACTGTTTCCAGATAAAAATCTGAACAATGATAAGCGTGACATGGTGTATTCAGTGTCTGGAAAAGTTATCTAAAATTTGATTTCATAAGGTCAAATCCAGACTTAGCAGAAATTAAAAGAATTGTGACTTTTATCATCTGGATCTCTCCTGGACTATCTAAGAATGGCTGCTAAGTAAATTACAGAGTTTAGGGACATTCCCATTTTAAGCCCTCGTGTCAATGACTTTATGGTCATAAGTGTGTGATTGCATGACTGGAGGGAGTTTGTCAAGTGCTCACAGCCTGTGCATGTGTGAGCCTGTGGCTGTGTGTGTGTGTGTGTGTGTGTGTGTGTGGCTGTGTGTGTGTGTGTGTGTGTGTGTGCGGGTGCC